GAGAGAGAGAGAGAGAGAGAGAGAGAGAGAGAGAGAGAGAGAGAGACGTTTCCGTGAACATTTTCTCTCCGTCCAACGCGTTCCGCGGTACAATTGAACAAACATGGCCAATATTTATGCAAGCCTCACCCGACACGAATCTCTGTTTGCACGTCGCGCAAATGTAAATTTCGTGGACTCGTGTTGCGGTTGGCCGGTCCGAGCCGCCAAAGCGTTCGCCGTGAAATAAAGACACCCCAATAAGAGAAAAGAGCGAAAGAAGCGAAATCGCGCAGTAGTACGTATCATGAACGTGATCTTCGTTCGTGATCGGGAGCAAGCCCGAATCCGGGGGTTACGCGACAAGAAATCACCGGACGGAATGCTGCACCGATTGTGCGATTGTTCCGGCGCCGCGCACGAGCTCCAGACGCGTTTTACGATTTGCGCCACCTGCGACTCGACCGTTAATGTCTTGTAAGGTACGTGAAGTACGCGGCTGCTGGCGAAGCGCGTTCGGAAATGGAGAACAAGGTCGCCCCGGGGAAGTTTGTTCCCCAATAATGGCTTTCGAACGGGATCTCGACGTTGAGTTTTCTGCCATAATTGCAGTTGACGGGGGAAGTTAATAACGCGGGCTTAGACTAAGCTCGATCGCAAACACGACAGGTTGCAGTCGCGCGCTGCATGACTTGAACAACGAGTGTCTGTTAAACGGTGGTGAACGAAAAGAGATATACAACTCACCGTTCCCCGTCGCTATAATGTTTCCCAGCTGCCAGAACTTGCTCAGAGTCTTCCCGCTTTCCTCTGGCGTAACCGACCCTGAAGCACCGGCTTCCGGCTGCGTTGTTACCATCTGCAACGCGAAAGATATTTCAGCCTGATAAGCCTAATAGCTGTCTCTCTCTCGCTCTTTCTCTCGGCACGGTGAAATATAAATGTATTACAACGCATAAAATGATGTAAAATTAATGATATTACGAGCGAGTTAATTGTCCGGTGTTGTTGTGTGAACATTTAACAACCGATGCACTTTGTGTATTATCAGTATTAATTGTTGCAATCAAGTGTTCACACGTGGAGATAAAAATATATAACAAACATTACAATCATTAATTTATCTTTATACGCGTTTTTCATATCCTCCATATTTCGCATTATGAAATCAAGTTAGATATACAGTATTTACATATTTGTATTAAAAATATTCCTTCTTATTGTCGTCTGTGACAGCTCTCAATGCAAATTGTCAAAAACGCACGAAAAAGAATTTGTGCAAAATTGGTTTAACGCAAAGTTTAGCTTTATTGAGACGAATCAACGCGTTTTGCTCGAAATACAGCATCTTTTGTTCTTGTCAGACCCAAACTTGATTATTTATTCTCAAGGAAAATGTGATCATCCAGCGAAAATAAAGATGATTGACGCGAGTTTGCGACGCGACGTTGAGCGAATATCAATACCAATGGTGACAGAACGAAACGCGTCCTCGTGAGTCGGCGAACATATTAATTAGTTAATGTCCGCGACACATCTCTCCCGCGGCCTGCGGTGACATTCTCGAACTTTGTCGTCGTGATTACACGATGAGAAATGCCGGGCGGACTCGGGCCGCGAAGCGTTGAAATATCTTCCAGTCCCGGGCGAAAACTCGCCAGAATTGAAGGTAAACACGCGACACTTCGGGTTACGTTTCATTAGAGCGCTTCATTGCGTTACTTCGCAAGAATTATCGCCGTCGGGCCCGAGCGAGACTTGGAGATTTTAATCAAGAGAGCCACCGCGGTCTCCTTACATTCCACGACGGGGTGGTAAGATTTCTCCCGGCAAGAGGAGAGAACCTACGCGGTCTCTCCTTCTTTTATGCAAAATACGCGCGCGCGAGAGTGAGTTAGCGTTACCGTCTGGCGTTCTGCCGTCTCGACGATTTCATTTTTAGACTTTCCCGGCGATTTTATCGCCGCGCGGGGAATAACTTGCGCGGTTCTTCGCAATTTACTGCAAAAATCAGAAGCGACCAATTAGCTCGCCGAACCGTGCATCGTGCTTACCGAGAATTCTCCCAACGACGCGCTACGGTAACCAACCGCGGCAAATTTAATAAACCCAACAGCAGAAAATGCAGCAAATTCTTATATATTTAACGTCGGGGCGGGCGATCGATTACGCTCTGTTTTCCTGGAAGAAGCCCGAGGAAAGAGAGTTCCCGTTCGTGTTCCACGATGAAAGACGCCGAGACTCTTAAGTGTATCATAGAGCAAAACCGAAGATACCATATGGAACTGTAAAATCCAATTTTCTTCTCCCCTTTCCCCTGACCAACCAAAAATAAAAAGGAACGACTTCTGATTCGCTGCTCCTTACAGCGAAACACCAACCAACCAGCCAGCACCGCGAACTTTCCTCGGACTTCGATCGCCGCGGTGACCTTTGACACGTAGAGGGCGACGGTAAATATCCTCGCAGATACAACCGAGTCCGTACGAAAACCAATTTCGTAATCGAGATGTAAATTGCGCCACATCTGGCCGATTGCCAATTTCTCTCTCCCTCGTTCTCACTAGTGTCTCTCTCCTCCCCCTCTCTCTCTCTCTCTCTCTCTCTCTCTCTCTTTCTCTTTCTCTCTCTCTTCCTTTGACTCTCAATCGCGCTTTACTCTTACCCCCCATGCATATTTCCCCCACATACACCAGCTGTACTATTCGACACGTTGAGCTCGGTATAATGCGTGATTCTGAGCTGGAACAGCTCCAGCAGTTGGAAACAGCCGGCGAACGCCCTCGTGATTTGATCCAGTGCTCGCTGATGGAACGCGGCTACGCGAATATACACACACGCTGGGAATATTAAATGCGTAGCGGACCACGGTCTCTCCGTCCGTCAGTTCGTTCTTCCTTCCTTCCTTCCTTCCTTCCTTCCTGTCTGCCGGTCTGCCTATGCTCGTCATTTCGCAGATCACGGTTCTTGCATATAGAGAGCCTTCGTCGTTTCTGCTGCTCGACATGCGCTTGATTGCGTATACAGAGTGTTCACCGCAACAGTATCCGCTATATTTTTACCAGTTACCATGATCGGATAAAGAGAAGTTCTAAATATTCATCAGTTTTCAAATGGCACGATAAGATGCTATAATAGAAATTGTTGAAAATGAATTTTTGTGTACAAGAAAAAATTAAAATCACCTCCGTTTTTTTAAAATGAATCTATATCTTTTGTATCCATAGTATTGTAAATTTATATCTTTTATATTCGTAGTGTTATAAAAGAGAACCTACACAAATAGTAACTCATAATACTGTTTCACAGCAAAAACTGTACGATAAAATAATAATGAAAAATTTCAACAACATGTGACACAAGCACACAGAAACATAAATCGAAGTATCCATTAATGCGACATATAAAACTCTCTGACGCTTTGCGCGTTACGGAAAATGGATTTCCTTTCGAACATATTCTGTGCACCAAAACATTATTCATTACATTGTACTCCAAATATTATCGTATCTCCTGTCTGTATTTTCACTGTTAAATGTTAGTAATAAAAATAATATAATGAGAGTTACTATAGAATTTGTCTTGATTTCTAAGATAGAAGGAGGGGAGGGAGATACCATGGTTCCGTTTGGAAAAGTGAAGATAATCTTGACTTCTTTACGAAAAAGCAATTTTTTAGAGGTTTTTGTTATTGCATTTTATTGCGCCGGATTCAAAAACTGATTAATTGCATCCAGGATTTTCTCCTGCCCGATGATCGTAACTGGCAAAATAACAATGGATACCGTTACGGTGAACACCCTGTAAGTCGTCGCGGTGTATTCCGTGTATCACGCGATATTGCATATACATTTTGCATATATCTATACATTCATGGCAAACAGTCTCATACTAAAGTAACTAATAGAGAAGCGACCGAATCACGCTTCTCTGGAGAAGCAGAATTCCACGTTTGTGATTACGCACGCCTCAAGCCGCAGAATATATATATGCTCTTGATCGCGAGAGGAATCCCGAATATCGTCAAATACAATCTGTAGTCAGCGCGATAAATATTTCAATCGTGTCTGTGTGTTTACCAATAAGTATCTGTTGTTGTAGCATTAAATTCGCTTACTTCACGCTATTCCATATACTTCGCGCGCGCACACTTCCCGTAACTGACGTATGAATTGCAAATCTTGCGCGCCGGTGTATGTACAAGGCGTTGCGTGTGCAACAGCAACAGCTGTTCCATGTGCATCAATACTACCAGCACGATAGTATCCTCCGGAAAGCTTCCAACTGTCAGCGTCGTGTCTCCGAGAAATGATAGCGAATCTGTTCGATATTTCAAGGTCGTGCTTCAGATGATCTCTAAATCGCGACGTGGCTCGTAGCAGAGTCCTATTCGCGAAGAGAACGTTCGAGTTTAGTGAGAAATATGTTTCCCAGAAATCTATAAATATTCAAAAGTTTCCTCTGTTGCATACAGAAATTTTTACACAGAATTCTCTCTAAAAATCTGTCGCGCGAACCAGAGATTGCCTAAAGCAAGGTTTCGAAATGACGTTCACGGTATCAATGTGCATACATTTGCTTCGCGTAAAGTCTCATCGCGATCACCACAATTCGCCTTAAGAGCGAATAAGTTGCGAAGGGGAATGAAAGAACATCGGCGTATCTGTTTTGCGTCGCTTATCATTGCGTCGCCAATTAGTTCGCGAACGCGCGCAAGATTCCATTAATGTCATCCCATTCCTTAGCACAGTAGCGTTTGAAATTTTCGACTAGGCGCATTATATTACAATATTCGTGCATCATGGCTGTTGATTATTCGAGGGATTGGCAATTTCTCGAATAATCGACAATCATATGATGCACGAATATTTATGATATAAGGCACCTGAGATATCGAAAATATATCAAATGTCATTAATGTCATTTGCCGAGGAATGGGGACAGCATTAATAGAGTTTTGTGCACAGTCGAATGATTAAAGGCACTTTTATCTCGGTGAGTTTTGCAACGCGTCATGCATCCAATGTAAATGCATTTTCTGAAAGTTACTAAAAAGCAAATCATTCTATTGGAAACAAGATGCTGAAACTCATCGAGGTAAAAGTGTCGCAATTTTTAATTATCAGATTGTACACATGCACGCACGTACGCACGCACGAAATGCGAGCACCATCCGCATTGAAATTCGCATCTCACGCACTTACACGCTCGACGGTAGCTATCGAACAAGTGTCACGCTACCGATAACACATGTCGCATTTGCAAACGTTATGACACGAGCAAGTCGGAGCCCGCGTTCGAATGCAATCGCGTTTCAGCGTGCAATCGTCGCCAGCTGACTGAATTTAATCGTCGGCGACGATATTCCTCTACTTGACATAATTCACGGTACCGAGAAAGGAAACGCTCGGACTGAAGGGCGCGAAGCTGCACACTCCCGTAAATTACAACAATCGTCCGACCGCGAATATTATCGCCACCTCCGTGGCAAATAATCGCGAGTATCCGGAGATCATTCTCCGCGTGCACGGCCATGAAACATTTCTCACTGACGCGATAATCCTTCCTTGCGCGCATTTTCAGAAATTCATTTCCGTCTTCTAACAGGGTGTCTACTAGAGACGTGGAAAAAGATTTCGTGAGATTTCCTTGATTTTCCAAGCGCTTCCGTACGAATTTCCATGCTGCCTCGTGGCACCTTTAGATGCAGATTCGGAATGAATTTATTTATTGCGCGCGCTTCTTGTGCGTACTATTTCTTGCATAATTTTGGAAGAGAAAATCGAGGGCCATTCAAGTTTCTCGGATATTAGGTTTAATGAAATATTTAAATTAAGTGAAGATCTCTCTTTCATGCGA